AACTCAGGGCTGTGAGGTCACAGGATGACACCACAGCATGGCTAATGAGAAAGACTGTCATCTCTGGGCACTTGGGTCTCTACAGATGCTCTGTTGGCTGCTGTCAGTCTGCAGAATGATGTTTCTGGTCCCAAGAGTGAGCCTGCGGTGGAGAGTCCTTGAAGGGATTGTGGAACCAATCTGAAGCCAAATGTGCAGGGGACATAAATCAGACAATGAACCTTCTATGTCCCCAGTAAGCATTGTGCCCAATTATCTATGACCACAGGTGGGTGTCTGCAGGCTAGCACATATCTGATCAGCTGGCACCATGGAGACTTCACTGAGGCCTCACCCTGGGGGAAGGAAGTTGGCATAGAATTGGGTGATTCCTGGCCAGTGGGATGCCATGCTTTGTTCTAACTGTTACTATGACAGTTGCTGTTCACAGTGACAGAGCAAGCTTACTTCTGATTGGCCTGCTGGGTAGAATCCAGGCCACTGGCAGAATATGACAGCCAAGTGGTTAGTCAAGGTCTCATTCCAGACTCTGCTGTAAGTCTGGCCTCTTGGCCTCACATCTTTGCAGGAACCTTTCTTATCTCCAGCTCCTTCAGTTGGTCAGGAATTCATAGTCCAGGACCAGAAGGTAATCTGAGCAGGTAAGAGAAGAATGAAATGTAGTCTTGGACATTGACTGAGGATCCTGGAGAGGGTGTGAGGGCAAGTGGCTTGGGGCCGGGTTGTGTGGGAACTCAGGATTCTCTACAATCCTGAGTAGGGAGTTGGGATTCCTTCCTAGGCAATATTCAAAGGGACTCTAGAGACATAACTCCTGAAAAATCATCAAGATCTGTATAGTAAGCCCTGGCCATCATCTTATAGGGACCGGCATCAAGTTTCTTTCTAACTAGCACTCTTTGGAATGGAGGACGGATTCCTCATCAGGAATCTATGATCTTCACCTGGCAATTGTTGGGGTGTGGCAAATTTCCCAAGAATATGCTTCTGCCCCCTGAAGTTCATGTCATTATAGTGTGAGCAACAAGAACATTTCCCTTGTCTAGCATTCCAGGCCTTGGTAGAGACTGCAATTGAGGCTCCGCTGACCTCTGGACCTATCAAGGTGTCTGTCCCTCCACCTATACCTCTATACACCGACATCTGAGGCATCTGGACATGCCTGCTGCTCTTTTCCTACCGTCCCCACCTTCTTCAATGCTCAGCATATTGGGTTCCCAGGAAGGAAGGTTCTCCCTGCCCTCAATTCCATGGCACAGTCCTGGATATTGAGAGAATGTGATCAAGATCTGGATGATTGCAGGAAGGTAGAGGAAGAGTGAGTCCCTCTAGCTTGTCTTTTTTTCCTGTGCCCTAACAGGAGTTCAGCATAAAAATAAGAGAAAGAAAGAGAAAGAAAATATAGAAAAACACATTCTGTCCCTGCAGAGATGAACATATATCCTGAGGTTTGATTCCTAGGAGGAAGGAAGGGTGGCACATAACAGAGGAAATGTAGAAGATGCTAGGCACACATGGTGGGCCAAACTCTATTTCATAACTTTTGAACACAGAAGATGCCTGCATAGCTCACCGAGGGCCGGAGGCCTTGTGATCCCCTGCCCTTCCTCTCTCCCTCTGCCAACCAAAGGTACAGAAAGAGCTGTTCTCATGGTGTCTATCTCTAGCAGATCAGTTTGTTTAATGCACTGGGCTTCATGCTAAGATTCTATCAATTTATAATGTTAACTTCTGAGAGAATTATCACTAGGTTGCAAAAGTCAGGGACAGTGAAGAAAACATGAACCCATCCTCAGCACTCACTGTGTGTGCTCCCTTCCTCCTGTCTGGAGGCGAGAGCACTGGCTTCCCTCTCCTTCTGGGGCTCAGGAAATCTGGACTACTTATTTCATTTTCCCTCTAGATTTTTTAATTTAAATTAGGAACAATCTTATTTTAGATATCAATCCAGTTCCCTCTTCCTCCAAGCCTCCCTTCCCCCCCACCACTCCCCTATCCCATCCCCCTTCTGCTCCCCAGGGAGGGTGAGGCCTTCCAAGGAGGATCATCAAAGTCTGTTACATAATTTGGGGCAGGGCCTAGGTCCTCCCAGTAGCCCCAGGCTGAGAAAGTATCCCTCTATGGGGAATGGGCTCCCAAAGTCCACTCGTACACTAGGGATAAATACTGATCCATGATCAGAGGCTCCATAGATTGCCCACGCCTTCTAACTGACACCCACCATCAGGGTGTCTGGGTTGGTTCTATGCTGGTTTCCCAGCTATCAGTCTGGGGCCCATGAGCTCTCCCTTGTTCAGGTCAGATGTTTCTGTGGGTTTCTCCAGCCTGGTCTTGACTCCTTTGTTCATCACTCCTCCCTCTCTGCAACTGGATTCCAGGAGTTCAGCTCAGTACTTAGCTGTGGGTCTCTGCTTTTGCTTCCATCGGCTACTGGATAAAGGCTCTAGGATGGCATTTAAGTCAGTCATCAATCTCATTATAGGGGAAGGGCATTTAAGGTAGCCTCTCCACTATTGCTTAAATTGTTAGTTGGGGTCATCCTTGTAGATCTTTGGACATTTCCCTAGTGGTAGATTTCTCTTTAAACCTATAATGGCTCCCTCTATTATGGTATCTCTTTCCTGCTCTTCTCTATTCTTCTCCCGATTCAACCTTCCTGCTCCCTCCTGTCCTCCTGTCCCCTCTTTCATGCTCCCAAGTTGCTCAGGAGCTCTTGTCCCTTTCCCTTTTTCTGGGTGACCATGTATGTCTCTCTTAGGGTCCTCCTTGTTTCCTAGCTTTTCTGGCAGTGAGGATTGTAGGCCAGTAACCCTTTGCTCTATGTCTAAAATCCATATAAGAGTGAGTACATACCACGTTTGTCTTTTTTTGTGACTGGGTTACCTCGCTTAGAATGGTTTCTTCTAGTTCCATACATTTGCCTGCGAATTTCAAGATTCCATTGTTTTTTTTTTTTTCCTGCTGAGTAGTCCTCCATTGTGTAAATGTGCCACATTTTCTTTATCCATTCTTCAATTGAGGAGCATCTAGGTTGCTTCCAGGTTCTGGCTATTACAAATAATGCTGCAATGAACGTCGTTGAACAGATGTCCTTGTTGTATGAATGTGCTTCTTTTGGGTATATGCCCAAGAGAAGAATTGCTGGATCTTGAGGTAGAATGATTCCCATTTCCCTTAGGAACCACCATACTGATTTCTAAAGTGGCTGTACAAGTTTGCACTCCCACCAGCAGTGGAGGAGTGTTCCCTTTTCTCCACATCCTCTCCAGCATAAATTGTTATTGGTGTTTTTGATTTAAGCCATCTTGACAGGTGCAAAATGGTATGATAGTTCACCGGGGAACACCTACAGCTGATGAACACCTTCAGCAAAGTGGTGGTATACAAGATTAACTAAAAAAAAAAAAAAAAAGAAATAGACATACTATAGAAAAAAAATTAACACATGAAAAAAAAAAACG